CAGAAAGTCGAGAGGCCTGAGTCGGAAAACGAGGGCTGCACGAGTCGGAGAGCAGGGCTAGCGAGTCAGAAAACAACACAGAGGCCCTAAACCCTAAACCCCTAAACCCTAAACCCTAAACCCCGGAGGGGGTGTCGGCAGATGTTTTCGACTTTTCGACACGAGGCCGTGGCGTTTTCGACTCGGCGGGCTCGACTCGAAAGCAGATTTGCTGACTTGACAATCACTCTGTCTTGTCTCTCTGGGTGATGCCCGAGTCAGAAAAAGGAGTCGAAAACGGTAGAGACCAATTCAGAAAACCTAGATGACCGAGTCAGAAAGTGGAGAGGCCTGAGTCGGAAAACGGGGGCTGCACGAGTCGGAGAGCAGGGCTAGCGAGTCAGAAAACAACACAGAGGCCCTAAACCCTAAAAAAACCCAAAACCCAAAACCCAAAACCCTAAACCCTAAACCCCTGAACCCTAAACCCAAAGCCCCGGAGGGGGTGTCGGCAGATGTTTTCGACTCAGGGTCTCCCTGGTTTTCGACACCAGGCTGTGGCGTTTTCGACTCGGCGGGCTCGACTCGAAAGCAGATTTGCGTGTGTGTGTGTGTGTGTGTCATGCACATGTCGCGCCTGACAGCTTCTCCCACTGCGACTTCAACCTCAACGTCAGGTCTCCATCGCTCATCCTCTCCCGCTCCTGCTGAGACAACGCGGAAAGGGCTTGTGGCCACATCTCGTTCATGAACACGCCATAACCACCGAAGACCTGAACGGGCACAGCTTCCACAGCTGAAGAGAGAGTCTTGCACCCTTGCACCTTGAAGATCTTGGCGGGGTCCGGGCCCGGCATCCCGGCAAGAGCCCAGTCAGGATCCGATCGTGCTCTATTTTATGGGGCTGATCCGGTCTTGCTCTGCCTAGCAAAAATTCCTCTGTCGTGCATGCAAGCCGCCGATCCCTTGCCAAACTGCAGCACAGACAGGAGCTTGCGCTTTGGTGGCATAACTTTCCCAAGACTGCCAGACTATCACCTACTGCAGCTATGCCGAGAAGACCTATGAAAAGCAAGATGCCAGGATGAAGCTCGGCTCTCTGCGAGCTGGCAACCCGAACAACCTCGGCGTCCGCATCCTGTCGGGGAGTAAATGACAGCACTCCCTTAGGCTCATACCTCTTGTGGTGCGCCTGCCTTCTCTCTGCCCATGGACTGCGACAGAGAAACCTGACACCCAAGAAAAACGAAGCGAGTCCAAGTCTGAGCTCAGTATCGCAGTCGGCCTTCAGCTTCTTGAGCTCCCGGGTTAGCGAGTACTCCCTGGCCTGAGCACACACTCCAAAAAGAGGCACGACTCCCTTCAACTCAAAACACTCCCTCAGAAAAGAGCCACTTCTTCAACTCACTCTGTAAGCTCTTTCCCCCACCTCCGCGTCCTTGAGCTGATTGGTCAGTTCCACGACTTCCTGCCACACTGCAAGTCCACTCTGGCAATGAGCTAGTTCACGTCCCGGCAATTCCATTCAGTTCATACCAGCAGGACTGCATTTCTCTGACGCATTGCCGCAACAAAATGAAGTATGTCAAAGTGCTCTTGCAAAGCTCGACTTTGGAACATCGCAAAGGGATCCGAAACTCCAATCCCATTGGGCTTTCTCGGGTCGCCGCGTCCCGTCCACGATACATGTCATGTCGGCGATACCCCCAAACGCGTGAGTCGCAACCTGCATAAGCAGCAGAATAACATACACAGACCGGGTGACTTTGCGCGATGCCATGACAAACCAATGCCAAATCCAGCGGTTCAATCTTTCGGGCGCTTTGTGCAGCGAGCGCATAATCCCAGGTCCCATACTGTCGACAAAGGATTGCCTGCACACTAGCGCTGCATCACTCACAGCCAAACACTTTGTCGCATGGCATGGGATAAAAGCCACGCTTGCAGGCAAAAACGGAAACGGGCTAGAAAGCTTCGAAGCCTTGCCGGATGAGACAGGTGGTCAATAGACAAGGCTTGCGCTCGAGATTCTCTGGACCGAAAAAGAATCCTGCCACTGCTATGGTTCTGGGACCTTTTGAAGTGCAGGAATCCCATAAACCGCGCCGCGCCGAGGTAACTGAGCCCTGCAGGTTTGAGGGCAGTTCGGTTTGCACCGCGTATGCCGAGGTTGCGTGCGCATTCGGATGTCAGAAACATGATCATTTGTGTTCGAAATGTTGGTAAACGCAAGGGTTCTGCAGTTTTCGTCGGTGTTGTGGATTCTGGCCCGAAGGTGCTTGTTTTTATTCAGGAAGTAGTCGACTGAAAGTAGCACTGGCGAACGTGCCGAAAGTACCACGCCTGTCACCCAAAACAGGATTTAACATAGGATTGAGAACCTACTGAAGCAACCAGTCGTGTGACATGACATGATGTGACATGATAGGAGATGACCTGACAGGATATGACATGAGATGATATGATATGATATGATATGATATGATATGATGGACCATGACATGAAACGACATGTGATGATGTGATTTGGCATGTCACGCGACAGGTTGCTTTAATGGGTTGGATTGCAAAAAATGCGTAGAGTTATTCGACTTCGGATCTTTTTGCATCCGCTCCGAACTCGCTCGCCTAGCCTCACACAACCTCTACTCGAGGAAATGCTTTGGGAATCTATCCGGTTTCGCCGGATAGATCGTAACCCTGGCACAACTGTCACCCAGTTGGCCGAAGCCCGGTTCCCGGGCCTGAGCACCAATCCATCTTGGATGAGGATTACGGTCGCATGACAATGGACCCCAGCCCCTACGGGGCCTTCAAGAAGTAGGGTGATTCCACGGGAGACCGTACTTCAGGGTGGGTGGGCGGGAAAGATAACTCTAAGCCTTTTTGGTTCAAGACCTTGAGCCACAAAGTCACATGTGTTGAGTTCAAGGTCAGCTTGCAATGAAGACTGCTCACCCATGCGTGCCAAACACAACGCAGTTTTACATTGCAAAGAATACTTAGAGTTATTCGACTTCGGATCTTTTTGCATCCGCTCCGAACTCGCGGCGCTTAGCCTCACACAACCTCTCTTCGAGGAAATGCTTTGGGAATCTATCCGGTTTCGCCGGATAGATCGTAACCCTGGCACAACTGTCACCCAGTTGGCCGAAGCCCGGTTCCCGGGCCTGAGCACCCAGGGCACTGAGTCCCAAAGCATTAAAGAAAGTGTGCCACTGTGAGCAAAGCGGACGGTGGCAACCCCCAGACAATCTGTGGGAAGCGGCGCAAAGAAGTCGAAAAAGACTGGCTAACGTGCCAGGGGTCGTCCCACCCCAGTCTGGAGATGGCGTCCGCCCAGTTAGATTTAGACGGAATGTACTCGAACCACATCTGGGTGTTGAGCCCGAGCATATGCGCAAAGGCTTCAAGATCCTTGGAAGAGGAAAGACCCTTCACTAGCGTCATTAGCGAAGCAATGTTGTCCAAGAACCAAATCCCCTTCCGGTTGCGGAAATGCTCAGGGCGACCCAACAACGCATAGACCACCATGGAAATTTCCAACTGCGCCATGTGCACTGCAGGCTGCCGCACTGAGTACCACCATGGATGGATGTCAGCGACGAAGCCTTCCCGAGCTTGGTGTGAGCCGCTAAACTTATGAGATTCTCAGGCATGCACAGATTGTAACTATTTGAATAATTATTTCTTCATTTAATCTTCATTTCGGTCTTCATTTTATTCTTCATTCTGGGGTTCGCTCTTCATTCAATCATCATCCTAATCTTCATTTCGATCTTCGTTTTTTCATCATTCCAAACTTCGTCCTTCATTCAACCATCATTTTAATCTTCATTTCGGTCTTCATTTTATCTTCATTTTCCGCTCCCGCCCCTCCACCGGGCTCCCCCGGCCCAGGCCCGCGGACGATGAAAATG